TCGACTCTACAATGGGATATTGCGGACATCCCACTTCCCGGAGGACTGGAAAAAAGGCAAAGTGATCGTCTTACCGAAAACCAGGGAGGACAGGCGTAGAGCTGCCAGCTACTGGCCGATCACGCTATTACCGCACATAGCTAAACTGTTTGAAAGATTGCTGCTGAGACGTCTCCGTCCGTGCATCCAACTTCGGGCGGAGCAGCACGGATTCAGGAGGGGTCTTTCTACAGTTACACAACTGACTAGAGTGCTGCACCTGCTTGCGGCTGAGTACAATCGTGGCCGCATATCGTTGGGCGTCTTTCTCGATATCGAGAAGGCGTTCGACCGGGTGTGGCACATAGGACTACTATATAAGCTGAATGAACAGACCAGTGTCCCTCCTGCTATGTTGCGGCTAATGGCGTCTTTCCTGGAAGACAGGAAGTTCTACGTGTGCGTAGAGGACGCCGAGTCCGCAACCAGAACCATCAGAGCCGGCGTTCCACAGAGCAGCTGTTTGTTTAGTGTACGCGGCTCACCAACGATATACCTACACTGGCAGGCAGGCTTCAAGAGTGGGAGGACGACGTTGAGCTGGCGCTATATGCGGACGATAGCGCCTATTTCACCTCGTCTAGAAGAGCCCACATAGCCACTGCCAAGATGCAGCGTCTGCTGGACCTGCTGCCACCATGGCTGGACGAGTGGAGGATGGTCGTCAATGTTGGTAAGACGACCGCTCTGCTCACTCGCCGTCTCAGGAAATTTCCACCTCCGCTGACCCTCAACGGCCAGAAGATTGCGTACCAGAAGGCCGTAACCTACCTTGGGTGCAGGATCGACAGGACGCTGCGCAGGACCGCGCACGTCGACTTCGTCATCCGCAGGGCCCGATGTGCGCGGGCGACGCTCTTGCCGGTCCAGGCATCCAAGCTGCCGATAAGAACCAACCATCATCACCTACGCTGCTCCGGCCTGGTACGCACTTCTGAGCGACCCTCTGAGGCGGCGACTGCAGGCCCAGCAGAACCTGACATTAAGGACGATCGTCGGAGCAGGTCGCTACGTCCGGAATGACGTAATAGCGGCCGATCTGAAAGTCGAGACCATCACTGACTTCGTGGCCCGGCTAGCGCGCGGCATGTTCAACCGTGCCGACAACGGGCCACATGAACACCTCAACGGCTTTGCGCCGTTGCACACTCGGCCACCGGACGGGCGACCTCTTCCAAGAGAACTCCTCTCTATATGTGATTAGAGAGTTGAGTAACAACCCACAATGCCGCTGAAAGGTCAACCCAGATGTAACGTTGCTTCTGAATGCACCGTTACACTTATAATTGATTAATCTTAAATCTTAAATAAATAATAGTAATATAATATTCTAATGTAAAAATAAAAAGTAACGAATTATTACATATTGTTAATTTAAAATAGTTATTCTACGGAACCATAGACTAGTTAATTTAATCCGCGCAGCGTGAACCATTTTGCTCAACGATCTCTAAAACAAAAGACTCGGTAGGTTTCGGACACGACGGCGAGTCCCCGTTCGGGCCATTCCTCTTGCATTTCTACCTGAGACCGCTTCAAGTTCGCAACGCGCGTGACCCTTCTACTAACGACTTTTGAACCTGCTTACCTACAATTTAAATTATTCGAGGTGCAGTTGATCCCGCTGGGGTGAGTTCTTATTTATTGAAACATTGTAACTGTTCTGCTTAATAAATACCTCTTTTGCTGAGGCTGCTTAGTGCTTAGCTTTAAGAATTTTAACTTCCTACAAGGGGGTGCTGGAATTGACTAGGGCGCATATAGTGCAATAGGAAGTTCCCTAATGCTGGCCTCCGTCTGGAATTCCAGGATCTACTACCACCTAGCATCTACCTGCTACCTAAGCATCTACCTGCTACCTAAGCATCTACCTGCTACCTAAGGGCTACTGCTGCCGAGCCGCGAGCTAACGGAGTGTTGGCCTACCCTCCTACCAGCGGCCATCATCACTATCGGCTTGGGCTTCACCGGCCCTTCTGCTAACTGGCTGTCTACGGCCTTGGGGGGAACAGCGCTTGGACTTCGCCCCTACGTCAGGCCAGTGATCCCCTTAATAGAATTACTTGTACGTGTGCGGAAGTAAGATAAATAAATAATTACAATACCGTAAATCTTGGTTTTTTAAGAACCCACCTATTCTGTACCCCTAACGGTACAGTGGCGCTCAACGTGGTTAATCTTACTTCCAAACATTCATTTTTTTCTCGCTTCGCAGCTCTCAACTTATGTTATTGTGAACGAGGAGGTGTCACAACAGCGAACTGGTACGTTTTTTTATAATTTAATAAACGTTTAATATAGTGTCATTTATTTTGCTACCTTTTTTATTATAGTGTCAATTATTACGAAGAATATTACTATTACTTACCTATTCTTTTGTTAATATATTTAATATAACAAATGTAGATATTGTAAGTACCTGATAACCATTTAAACTATTAAAAGTCGCAATTATATACGTAACAGTTCGCATCTAAACAACTGTTGATTTTGCTTTTTAATTGTGTAAGTACCTACATTAAAATTAGTAATAGTTTACACCGAATCGTAGTTAGATTTTACGTTGTAGTTTTTTTTTGTAAAGAACAGAATTGGAGTTATATAGTTTTTAGATTGATTGATTGATTTTTAGATTTAGATGCGGTAACTTTATGCTTGTAGTATCTTACGTTTCCTTTTGTCTTGTTTTTAGCATTCTGTTGTAAATACACAATGGGAACTCACCCTATTAAATATTTTCTGCTTAATAAACAGGAGTTAACGTACGAAGTACTTATTAGAGGCGATGAACCGGCTCCTAATGTATTAGGCTTACGTAAACAGATATCAAAACTTATTTCGTTAATACCTAATGAAGATCTTTTTGAATCGGGTCTCGATATAACGGTGGATTATGAGGGCGTTCAAAGTTCTATAACTGAGCTGGCTACCCGAATTAACTCCTTAACCGAAAAATATGATTATAATCTTTTTGAGCGAACCAAAGCCTTACATAATCATATTTATCATCGTTTAAGACGAATAGATAAATCTAATCCCTCATTCGTAAAAAAGATTAATTCCTCAAACAAAGAATTCGACGTCTTATCGACAAAATTATTTTCTATGCAAAAGTTAGACTCTGCTAATAATACCGAATCCGAGCAAACTAGTTCTGCAAACTTATCTTCACTACGTGCCTCACCCCTTGTATCGGTGCAGTGCGAACATTCGAGTACTAGCGAGCTGTATAAATTAAAATATGACGGTACCACTTGCGTTCGTGCATTCATACAAAAGATAAAAGAGTTTCAAACTGTTAGAAATTTACCTTCAAGCAAATTATTAATGTGTGCATCGGAATTATTTATTGATAATGCGCTTCATTGGTATCGTAGCGTTCGCGATACAGTAAGTACTTGGGAGGAATTACTTAATCTACTAAGCGAGGATTTCACACCTTTTGACTTCGATTACAAACTAATGTCCGAAATTCGTAACAGGACACAGGGTGAATCCGAAAACATTATTATCTATTTATCAATTATGTCTCAACTCTTTTCACGTCTATCTGCACCACTTTCAGAAAAGCATAAATTAGATATTCTATTACACAACATACGACCGTGCTATGCGACTGTTCTCGCATCATATGTTACCGGTGTTGATTCTATAGCCACACTTCGTAAACTATGCCTTAATTATGAAAAAATTCAGTGCCTATCGTCTCAATTTCATGAACCTCCGAAACCGTCAAGTAAAACCCTTGCCCCTGATTTAGCCTATACAAAATCAGAACCTAGCTTTTACAAAAATAATTATTATAATAAAAAAATTTAACACCCAGTCAAATAATAATTTCTATCATAATTATAAATCTGGTATCAATGTACCAATATCAGCTATTGAATCTAACCCCAGTACTTCAACTCGAACACCGGTTTTATGTCCACGTTGCCGTACTAATGACCATTCGTTGAGACAATGTAAACAGGAACGTTACCCGGTCTGCTTTAAATGTGGCTTAAAAATTTTATTTACCCTAACTGTCCCAAATGTAACTCTGAACAGAAACAAAAAAACTAGATAGCCAAGATTGTTGCATGTCAGCGGTAAATGATAGATCGAAAACCACTTCTAACTTCGATATGGAAGACTGGAAAAATTGGTTAACTACAATAAAAATTTACTTCTCGAGTTATTCTATTGCAACAATCTTTGATAAAAAACCTAACTCTGATGTACGCCCTTATGTTACCATCACAGTAGGAGACAAACCTATGTGTGGGTTGCTCGATTCCGGCTTAGCTGTTACAATACTAGGTAACAACTCTCATCTTGACCTACCTTCTTCATCTAACTTATCCATTATCAAATGCGACACCATTCAATCATTTATTTCAGCTAGTGGTCATAAATTATCTGCGGTCGGGTATATTAATCTTGACCATTCCGCCTTAAAATGGTTTCTTAATTTAAGCAATCCTACCGGCCGTCTAGCCCGATGGGGAGTACGATTATCAGCATTTAATTTTGACATAAAACATCGTCGCGGTGCTGACAATGTTATTTCTGACGCTCTTTCACGCTCATGTCCAGTATCTGCCATGGATTATGATCCTAATGCTACACAAACTACGGATCAGTGGTATCCAAAAATCTACACAGGTTGCCAGACTTCACCTTCATCCTTCCCTAATTATTTTATTAAAAATGACAAACTGTATAGGCTTATGAAGAGTAAGTGCCTCTTACAAAAAGAGTTTGAATGGAAAGAAGTATTACCTGCTGAACAACGTAATTCAACCATTAAAGAAAACCATTCAGAACCTACTGCTGGACACTTAGGAGTCTTCAAGACCTACAAACGCCTGTCTCTCCGATATTACTGGCCGGGTATGCACGCCGATGTCGTGAAGTTTGTTTCAGCATGTGATACTTGCATAGCACATAAGCATCAAAATCACGTTCCGTTAGGTATTATGGGACACCCTAAGGTATGTTCTAGACCCTTTCAAACAATTAGCGTGGACCTTGTAGGACCTCTTCCACCGACGAGAAAGCAAAATTGCTACATATTCGTGGTTACATGTTGCTTTAGCAAATATTGCCTCTTATTTCCCATAAAACGAGCCACAGCTGAAGTAGTAAGTAGGATTCTGGAAGAAAGTGTATTTTTAGTACATGGAATTCCCTCCACCGTAATACTAGACAACGGTAAACAATTCGTTAGCGCTACTCTAAAGAACACCCTTTCTAAATATAAAGTACCTAACCTACATTATACGCCCAAATACTCACCACACGTAAACACAGTAGAACGTTATAATAAAACAATAATTACTGCGATATCCACATATATTGAAAATGATCATAGAGTGTGGGATAAACTAATTCCTCAAATTCAGTTCGCAATAAATAGCGCAGTTAATGAAGTAACTGGCTACACTCCCTCTTTTCTCGTATATGGCAGAGAATTAGTTTCTTGTGGTTCTCACTACGCCGATGCTGAGTGCGATGACATTATTTATCACCCTCGAGACTCTTATGATGAGAAATTAGGTTGCCTGTCTAGTATCTTCGACAAAGTGCAAGCCCTTCTACTACAAGCACATTCCAAAAATTGTCATACTTATAGTTTACGTCGTCGGCCTGCTGAATATAATGTAGGGGACATAGTATGGAAAAGGACATTTTATCAAAGTGATAAAGATAAATACTTTAATAAAAAATTAGCTCCAAAATTCACTAAATGCAAAATTATTACTAAGAAATCGCCACTTGTGTACGAATTATCTGATATGACCGGTAAATCTATAGGATATTGGCACATAAAAGACCTAAAACTCGTAAATTATACCAAATAAATATTTTCCTCGGTACCTAGTGGACTAGAAACAGATAGACGGATTTTACTATTAAAGACGCAAAATCCTTCTTCAGTTGGCGGGGTACTGTAACGTTGCTTCTGAATGCACCGTTACACTTATAATTGATTAATCTTAAATCTTAAATAAATAATAGTAATATAATATTCTAATGTAAAAATAAAAAGTAACGAATTATTACATATTGTTAATTTAAAATAGTTATTCTACGGAACCATAGACTAGTTAATTTAATCCGCGCAGCGTGAACCATTTTGCTCAACGATCTCTAAAACAAAAGACTCGGTAGGTTTCGGACACGACGGCGAGTCCCCGTTCGGGCCATTCCTCTTGCATTTCTACCTGAGACCGCTTCAAGTTCGCAACGCGCGTGACCCTTCTACTAACGACTTTTGAACCTGCTTACCTACAATTTAAATTATTCGAGGTGCAGTTGATCCCGCTGGGGTGAGTTCTTATTTATTGAAACATTGTAACTGTTCTGCTTAATAAATACCTCTTTTGCTGAGGCTGCTTAGTGCTTAGCTTTAAGAATTTTAACTTCCTACAAGGGGTGCTGGAATTGACTAGGGCGCATATAGTGCAATAGGAAGTTCCCTAATGCTGGCCTCCGTCTGGAATTCCAGGATCTACTACCACCTAGCATCTACCTGCTACCTAAGCATCTACCTGCTACCTAAGCATCTACCTGCTACCTAAGGGCTACTGCTGCCGAGCCGCGAGCTAACGGAGTGTTGGCCTACCCTCCTACCAACGGCCATTATCACTATCGGCTTGGGCTTCACCGGCCCTTCTGCTAACTGGCTGTCTACGGCCTTGGGTGAACAGCGCTTGGACTTCGCCCCTACGTCAGGCCAGTGATCCCCTTAATAGAATTACTTGTACGTGTGCGGAAGTAAGATAAATAAATAATTACAATACCGTAAATCTTGGTTTTTTAAGAACCCACCTATTCTGTACCCCCTAACGGTACACAGACTTTATCAGATAACCTCCTTTTTGCGTAGTCGGATAACTACGGAAAAATATTTTTTACCATCATGGAAAAATCCGTCCAATTCTATCTAGCCTAGAATAGGCTACAAGGACTGTCCCATAGCTATGGGACATGAGGAATACCCGGGCAATGGGGGCTACCCCGAGGCCCGATACCTGAATTGCACTTTGGTGCATGTAGACGGCAACACGAAGGCTCAAATCGCAGTCGCAGCACAGCCGTCGAAGAGGCTACAACAATAAGGAAAAAAGGAAGCCGAAACCTAAGGAACAAGAAGCTACCTTAGAAAAGCGTTTTAATTGTCTCCTCCCGGCTGATCGTCTATCTCTCTCTCTCTCTCGGGGTCCTAGTAGGGTCGTAGTATACATACGTATTCAGGGGTGCGTGGGACGTGCGTCACCAGCACTACGCAAGGAACGTACGTCATAAAGTGGGAGATTGTCCCAGGGTGACTGCGGGCACTGGACTTGTCCCTGCCGTCCGAAACAGTTGGTCCTTCGAGCCGGATCCCTGTTAGAGGTATATAGAAGATTATAGAAGAATCCGTTCAAAATGCCGGTTACCAGGTCACAGAAAGATGCGTCCCGGGTCCCGTCCCTCAGATAAGGACGCGACAGGTGAAGTCAGATTCTTCAGGCACTACGACCACAGAGGATACCACAACGACAGAGACTACAGTTGCAACTGCCACAACTGCCACCACGGCGGCATCCAAGGATGAAACCGCACAGAAGGAGACGACCAAGAAGACTCTAGCGGATATTCCAGACAAGGGCGTTCATGGCTCTGCCACAAAGCCAAAGGGGGTCAGTCGTCGCGCCAGGTCTACGAAGACCACGAGCTCCTCAGCCAGGAGACGGAAGCTGGAAGCCACGGAAGAATTAGCACGCATGGAGCTAAAGCAAGCTCAAGCTGCAGCGAAGCTAGCACGCATCAGATTAGAGCTGGCACAATGTGAAGATGAGGACTCCATGGATGAAGACCAGGAAGACAGAACAGCACAGGTGCAGAACTGGATCGAGACATCAGTAATGGAAGAAAACAACATGGGAAAACACGAGCAACGAGGTCAGCACCCTCCAGAAGAGCCAATTGTGAAGCCTGAAGAGAACTCCTCAACGAAAAAAGATACGAGCGAAATTCAAGCGCTGACGAGCATTGAAGGAAGCCCTTACCACACGAGGAGGACCAGTAGCTCATCCGAAGTATATCCACGAGCTACCCTACTTCGATGGCAACAGCAGCGAGTGGTTGGCCTTCAAGGTGCTGTACTCCGAAGCCTCTCCACTGGAAGTAATGCAGGCCCTCAAGAGACGATATGGAAGACCTGATGCATTGGTGCTGGCTGAATTGGATAAAGTCAGGGCATTACCGAAGATTTCTGAAAATCCAAGAGATATATGCGTCTTTGCGAGCCAAATCAACAACAGCGTAGCAGCAATAAGGGGTTTGAAGAAACCACAGTACCTGCATTCACTGAAATGGTAAAGCAAATTATAGAAAAAAATGCCTACAATCCTGAAGTTCCGATGGTATGACTTTACGGCAGCAACAGAAGACGGCAAGTTCTCCGACCTGACGATGGTCTCCAAGTTCCTGAACAGCGAAGCAGACAAATGTGGAGCCTTCGCAACCTGAGAAAAGAAGAGCGGGTTCAGAAGAACTCATCGACAAGCGACGCATTCTACGAGGGAAAAGGACTTTAAAGAAAAAGATACAAGACAGTCAACAGAAAAGACTTGTCCTATGTGCCAAGGTGGACACTTCCTCGTCGACTGCCAGAAGTTCCAGAAGACGTCAATACAAGATCGATGGGCAACAGTAAAGAAAAGTCACGTTTGCTTCAAATGTCTTCAAGGAAAACATCGAAAGGAGAGCTGCAAGAAACCACCATGTAAGGAGTGCAAGAGGTGGCATCATCATTTGCTGCACGTCGAACCAGAAAATAGGACCTCGGGAGAGAAGAAGGCGGAAACACAAGAAGAAGTAGCAAGCGTCATGACATCAGTAAATGCAGTCAACAACGCAAGGGCATACCTGAAGATAGTTCCAGTAGAAGTCTTCGGGCCAAAAGGATCCAAAAGAATATTGGCTCTCATGGATGAAGGATCGACAGTGTCACTTATTGACACAAAGGTGGCAGAAGAAGTCGGCGCTAAAGGCAACAAAGAGGAGCTGGTCATCGAGACAGTAGGAGGCAGGCAAATCAAGAAGAAGGATTCTCAGACGCTGGACCTTATGGTGAAGGGGGTTCATCAAGGAAGCAAGAAGACCTTGAATAGATACAATGCCCCAGCCTGACCAAAGAAGATCCCCCTCTTTAAAAGGGACACCAACCCCTTGATATGACTCAGAAGTAGAAAAAACCAAACCTATTCAAGAACAGGCTTGATGGTGCTTCACACAGTAATCTTTCAGCAACCAGATGAGGAGATGCATCGCCATCAAGGACCATTTGCAATGCCTTGTGTCACCTCAAAAAAACTCCACTATACTCCAAATATAACGATGCCTGAGAGCTACTCATCTGCAGAGAACCGGTTGTTCAATATTGAAAAGAAGATGGATAAGGACCCTCAGCTGAAGGCAGAATACATCAAGCAGATCTTATCGACAGCAAGTATGCAGAAGAAGCACCTATGACACAACAGGACTCTAAGAAGAAATGGTACCTCCCTCACTTCTCCGTAGTACATCCACTGAAGAAAAAGATAAGGATCGTCTTCGACGCTGCAGCCAAGTCAAAAGGAAGAAGCCTCAACGATGCTCTACTGCCAGAACCAGATCTACTGCAGTTGCTCTTCGGGATACTACTAAGGTTTCGACAGGGCCCGCTAGCTGTGGCAGCCGATATCAGAGAAATGTTTCTTCAAGTTCGCATTCGACCAGAAGACAGAGATAGCCTGAGGTTTTTGTGGCGCGGGGCTCGTCGCGACGTGCCTCCAAAATAGTACAGGATGACATCGGTTATCTTCGGCGCAACATCGTCTCCGAGCACCGCAATCTATGTGAAGAATCGAAACGTAGCGGACTTCAAAGAACAGTATCCAGAGGCAGCAAGGACGGTCGAGCTAAACCATTACATGGACGATTAATAGACCTGCACAGCTTCCACTCAGAAGAAGACTTTAGAAAAGTGACGACGCAGGTGGACTTCATACACAAGAAGTCAGGCTTCGAACTCAGGGGATGGGCGTCAAATCAACCCGAACTGCTGCAAGACGTGAAGATCGACTCCATTGAGAAGACAGAAGTGGACCTAGGCGAGAAGGAAGAGAAGACATTAGGTCTGCGCTGGTTCACCAAAAGGGACTCCATCGGCTTCAGGGCAAACCTCGGAAATACACCAGAAGAAATAGCAAGAGGAATCAAGGTGCCTACGAAGAGGGAAGTTACCAGCGCAGTAATGTCGACCTTTGATCCGCTGGGTTTAGCATCACCAGTTCTCATCCAAGGCAAGAAGCTGCTTCAAACTGGAACTGGAACATATGGCGAAGTGGCGTCGGTTGGGATAACGAAATAAAAGAAAGGGAGTACGAAGCATGGAAAACCTACCTGGAGAAGATGAAGCTACTCCGAGACCTGCAAGTTCCGAGATGCCTGGCACCACATTGCACCGAGGAGGAGCTACACACTTTCGTTGATGCGAGCGAGCTGGCGTACGCAGCGGCAGTTTATTGGAGGACAGAAGGGCAAGATGGAACCTACCACGTCAGCTTAGTGGCAGCAAAGGCGAGAGTCACTCCACTGAAGCCAGTGTCCATCCCGAGACTCGAACTACAGGCAGCCCTCCTAGGAAGCAGACTGGCTCATTCAGCTGAAGAAGAATTGGACCTAAAAGGAACAAAGAAAACATTTTGGACAGACTCCAGCATCGTAATTTCCTGGATAAAAACAGACCCGAGAACCTTCAAGACGTTCGTGGATCATCACTTAGCGGAGATAGAGGACCTCACCAAACCGCAAGATTGGAGATGGGTGCCTACAGCGCAGAATCCTGCAGATGACGCAACACGCGACGTGCCAGAAGACTTCAACTGCACTCACCGATGGTTCACTGGACCAAGCTTCCTGAGAAAAGAAGAAGCACATTGGCCTGCACCAAGAACTTTCAAGAAAAAACCACCGGCGAAGAAAGGGCAGCGGACGTCGCAGCAACAACACAAACATTTCATCCATCACCAGACCTAGAGATTCTCTTCATGGAAGAGGCTTTGCGAGCCACAGCGAGGGTACTGCAGTTCTTACAACTCTACAGAAAAGGGGAGAAGGTCAACGTCTCAAAAAGATCCCACCTGGAAAATGACAAAAAGAAAAGGCACGAAGACTGTAGAGAAGCAACACAGATCTTCAAAAACAATAGAAAAGAAATATATACCGATGAACACCGAACTACTCGAGAAAGCTGAAACTCTTTTGCTGAAAAGAAGCCAAGACAACAGTTTCAGAGAAGACATCAAGCGCCTTCAGCAAGGGAAGCAATTAGAGGGCAGCAGTAAATTGAAAAGGCTCGACGTAGTATTGGAAGAGGGTCTCCTGGGACTAAAGGGACGCGATACAGGGTGTGACCAGGGACTACAAACGACCCATCGTGCTCGACAGTAAGGACAAGACAACACAACTCATCATAGAAGAATTCCACTGCCGCTTCAATCATGGAAATCACGCGACGGTGATGAATGAAATACGACAACGCTTCTGGATACTCGGTCTATGGTCAGCAATCAAGACGGTTCAGCATCAATGTCAATGGTGCAAAACGAGAAAAGCAAGACCTCAAGAAATACCAACAGGCAACTTACCGGCGGAAAGGGTGATGCACGGATATCATCCTTTTACGTGCACGGGCGTGGACTACTTCGGACCGATGACAATCACCGTGGCAAGACGGCACGAAAAAAGATGGGGGCTCTATTTACATGCCTCACAACAAGGGCTGTGCACATTGAGCTAACTCCTTCGCTCTCCACCGACAGCATGATCATGGCGCTGCGACGATTCGCCGCAAGAAGAGGGATGCCTAAGAAAATCTACAGCGACAACGGGACTAACTTCGTCGGCGCCAACAAAGAAATAAAAGAAGCCCTCGACACCTTGCAGCAAGAAGACCTCACCTCAGAAGCAGAGAAGATCGGCGTGCAATGGAAATTCATCCCTCCAGGTGCGCCAAATATGGGTGTCGCATGGGAACGTTTGGTGCGATCAGTCAAAACCGCACTAAACGCCACACTTCACGAACGGTATCCACGAGAGGAGGTACTCCACACTCTCCTCCTAGAGGCCGAGCACATAGTCAATTCTCGACCTCTCACACAACTCTCTGAGAACCTTGAAGAAGAAGCACTAACACCGAACCACTTCCTCATCGGGCGGTCCTGCGGCGCAGCGAGAGTCGGCAGCTTCAACGACAACGAACTCGTGGGCAGATCCACATGGAAGGCCACGCAGCGGCTTGCTGATCACTTCTGGCAACATTGGCTGCGAGAATATCTACCCACTCTCTTGCCAAGGAAGATGAAGGCAAGAACCAGCACCACAGACCTGCAAGTTGCGGACATCGTGCTGATCGTCGACCACAACCTACCAAGGTGCACCTGGCCACGCGGCAGAATCTCCCAAGTGTATCCTGGACCTGATGGGCGAACAAGGATCGTCGACGTCGAGACGCGCGGAGGTGTGCTGAGAAGACCCAGTTCGAGAGTAGCGCTGCTGGTGCCGGGAGTATCGCCGAGCCAGGAGAGGATGGTGCGACGCACGAGGGGGAGAATGTCGGCGACAAGTATACAATCAACCAGTGACGAACTGTGTTTAAGACTATTTCAATTCCTTAATTAGTGTAGTGTCGGCGACAAGCATATAATTTACCAAGTGACGGACTTTATTTTAAGACTATTATAATTTCTCAATTAGTGTAATTAGCTTATTAACTCTTATTAGAATATAAGTTAAATATAATTGCAAAATCGAAGGGTTAGCCTTTAATGATAATTTTGTAAGGAAGTTTTTTAAGCAAGAATTTGTATTGTAAATACTTATAAAAAATTTAAGTTTTGTTTAACGCTTAAAAACTGGTGTTAGATTAAAGGTTTATACATAACATAATGTAAACAAAAAGAAATAAGTAGATTAGACATCTGTTTTAATAAATATAACTCAAAATGTATAGTAAATTAGCAATTTTGTAGGGTTTTTGTTCTATAAGTTTTGTATAGAGGACTTTATAATTTTATAATAGTTTTATATTATTATTTTATGTTATAGAACATAGCTAGAGCAATCTAACAATATATAATTTGTAAGGGTTTTTTGAAAATTTTCAATAAATAAAGGCTCCTAAGGTTTCGGCTCGAAGTAAAAACAACGCGCGAGATAGTACCGTAACCCGTACGGTAACGCCGGCGGGTATATAAGCCGAGCAAATTGAGGCTCAAATCGTGTCCAATGATGAGATTTCATCCCTCATCAAAGGACTTAAGCCTAAAAAGGCTCCGGGCGCGGATGGCATCTCCAACCAAGCCCTAAAACACTTTCCTGAGCAAGTGTTAACCTTTTTATCTATTATCTTCAACGCCTGCTTCAACCTTAGTTACTTTCCCACTACGTGGAAAGAGGCAACTGTGATTGGAATTCCCAAGCCAGGCAAGCCTCTTAACCTCCCCTCCAGTCATCGCCCCATTAGCCTCCTCAAGGCAATGGGCAAGCTCTTCGAAAGAGTCATCCAATCACGTATGAGGCGCTATCTGTTTCCCACAGACGGTGACCCTCTTATCATTCCCCATCAATTCGGGTTCCGAGCCCAACACTCATGTCCCCAACAAGTTCACCGCATTGTGGAATATATCCTCAGCGGTTTCTATCCTCGTCGTCATAAGACCATCGCGGTCTTTTTCGACATAGCTAAAGCTTTCGATAGGGTCTGGCATACAGGCCTTATCTACAAACTCTACAAAATAGGTCTCCCCGATCGCCTAGTACGTCTCGTGGCCTCTTACCTAAAGTATCGTACCTTTCGTTTTAGACACGAAGGCACGCTATCTTCACAACGGACTATCAAGGCTGGTGTCCCTCAGGGCTCAGTACTTGCTCCTCTGCTGTACATCCTGTTCACCAACGACATTCCCATCCCGTCGAAAGGTGTTCAGCTCTCCCTCTTCGCAGACGACACTGCTATCTACTGCAAAGGCGTCTCACTGCCCTTCATACGGAACAAGATCCAAAAGTCAGTTGATGACCTAGGAGCTTGGTTCAAAAAATGGCGCATCGATGTGAACCCGGAGAAGAGCTCCGCCATTCACTTCGATTATAAACGACGCCGTCTCAAAAACACTCCACCAATACGTATGCTAGGGACCCCTGTCCCCTGGCATACGACCGCCAAATATTTAGGTGTCACTCTGGACACAGGGCTCACTTTCAGGCCCCACGTCAAAAGAGTAACCCGTCACGCACGGTTTTATCTGAGTAGGCTCAACAGTATGTTGGGCCGACACAGTAAAATGTCCCTTAGAAACAAGCGTACCCTTTATAAGGTCTGTATACGACCAGTCATGTCCTACGCGGGCCCCGTTTTTGCCCACGCCAACCCTAAAATCATTAATGAACTCCAAATAGTTTAAAACCTTTTCTGTCGTCGAGCTGGGAACTGTTACATCCCTATTTACACTGTCACATCACTATTTGTTAAAGTAAAATGCTGACTTGCAATTATTGCTGGTTTATTCAAATACAATATTAAAAATCAGCAATAATTTTGCTATAAATACGCAAGACTTTCCTAAATTCGTTCAGTTGGTTATTCTTCAGCTAAACTGCTCCCCAGCTACGGACCTGGTTCTTGCCTGCCGGCTGGCTATCAGTGAAAGCTAAGAATACACTCCGGGTCTACTCTGCCCTTCGCCAGGGCTATCGCGCTGTTATAATCCAAGTCGCGTATAAGTTTTATGTAATAGTAGAAATTCTGTGTCCGAACTTGTTTATGAGTAAAACTTTTAATTAATAAATAGTTGTCGTCAGTCAGTACTGTTTTTTTTTATAAGTGCTGGATAGGACAATCTAACATTTGGTGTCAGAAGAAAAGGGATTTCTGAAGTCCTTCGGGTCGCCTACTCCTGACGACGACCAGCTCCACACAGAAATCGGTCCAGACTCGCGATCCTGAACTAGCAAGTTGGCCACCTGCTGTCCCTGCCTGTCTTCCTGACGCTTTAAAAGGCCGCCGCCAACCCTAGTCATCGCATACAACGTGTCAGCATCGCTCCATTGTGCGTGAGGGTTTTCTGCCCAGCACCGAGTTATTGGCTGCACAAAAAACTAATATTTCTACACAAAATACATCGCGACACTTGGTTTGAGCGTTGACCCGTACCAACCGCAAACGCTGCACATTTCATCACTTCCGCCGCATCGCCGCACCGTCACCTGACACCGACGTCACCGAGCCGCCGCTGTTTCCATGAAATCGCTGTATCTACTAATAATACTGTGAGTGTTCTTTATTCGATTTATGTTGATTTATTTTTGTCATTTGCATTATTTTGCGTGTGGATATTTTATAATATACTTATATTATACTCTTAATTTTCTACTCCGTTTCACGTAATTAATTAAATTAATTCTTTAAAATGGTTAATGAAGATGGTAAACTTGAAAAGAAAAGCGTTCAGTCGTGTTCAAGTTTGCAGACTGTAGGCATAGAGGAATTAAATTTTTCAATACTCACTAAATTTATTAAGGCATTCGATGGCGATAGGAATATCAGATTTTATTGCAATACCTTCCGGCGTCCCACAGGGATCCATACTGGGACCACTTCTGTATGCAACATATTTGTACGACGTAGGTGCTTGCTTTGAACATGCTCAATTCCTTATGTACGCTGATGATACCAAAATATTTACGAAAATTAAAAACGATATGGATTGTACTGGCCTACAAACTGATCTTAACCGTCTAGAACAATATTATACTGATAATCGAATTGGTATAAATATAAATAAATGTTCTTTTATTTCGTTTACTCGCAAGAAACATCCGATCAATTTTGAATACTATATTAATAATGTTAAAATTGCAAAATCGGCTTGTGTTAGGGATCTTGGTGTTCACATTGACTGCAAGTTGACATTTTCTGATCATACAGAAATGATTAAAAACAAAGCGTACAGAAGCCTGGGTTTCGTATTGCGTGTTAGTCGTCCCTTCTCAGACATAGGTTGCCTAAAAGTACTGTATTACACTTATGTTAGGAGCATCCTAGAATACTGTAGCATAATTTGGAACTCTCAGTATATCATTTGTATTCAAGATTTAGAAAAAAATGCAAGAAAAATTCATAAAACATTTAAATTATCGGTCGCATTGCCATTTCAAAAATTATGATGAATCCTGCCATTATCATAATCTTACGACTCTCAAAAATAGGCGTGTACTTGCTGACATGTCCTTTTTACACGGAATATGCAACGGATATATAGATAGCCCTGAACTATCAACCAAAATACTGAGTTTCTGCGCCCCGAAAGTTAGAACGAGACACACAAAATTATTTGCTGTAACACGATCAAAAACAAATTACGCACAAAACGCATTGGTCAGTCGATTGCATA